ATATATATATATATATATATAATGCAATCTTGATTTCGTTGTAAGAAGAGCAGAAGTGGAAAAGAGGATCTTCTTGTATCCTGTTGTATCCTTTCAGTCCTTTTTCAGTCCTTTCGTATGCGACATCTTTTATTCCTCAAGCGATATTCATTCTATTCATTCATTCTATTATTTAATCAGATAAGATTATTCTATAATTTATATTTAACACTTTAATAAGCTCTTGAATTTTTATATGTTGAATTTTCAAATTTATATATTCTCTATATATTTTTTATGTATTTTCATATATTCCTTATATATTTTTTTAAATCGCCAACTTTTTTTCTTAGAACTTTTATCTTTTTTGACTTGATCTCTAAGAGATCTTCTTAGAGATCCATGAATCGTTCAGCGAAAAGAGAGATATCTTTAAATTTTGAGAGTTTTAAAATTTTACGTAACAATAATTAATGTTTACATGTAGAATGTAATCGTCACGTGCAATATTTTACGTACTCACGTACTCACGTACACGAAACAAGATATGGTCACGCATGTACACACCGCACGCGTGAGATACAAAATGCTTGATCGTTTCAGGTCGTACCAACAACAATCTTTCTACGGGATTGATGGTAGTGATCTTGGTGGGTGTCGTGACGGGCGTCTTCCTTTGTTTTGCACTAATGGCTGTTTGCTACAGGTACAGTAACAGCGAGATCAAGGCCTGTCGTCTTCGTCTTCGTCGTCGTAATTCGTGGCTAGCTGGATGATGATGATGATGATAATGATGATGATAATGATGATAATGATGATGATAATGATGAGGAGGCATCGCACGCGGCCATCAATGTTCTATCATAATATCGATCACTCTTAGCCTATTCTACTCGGTGTTCACTTATTACACATATTAACGCGAGAGTTGCAGAAACAAAAATCGCTGCGTTCAGCTCACACGACGACAGTGAGAAGATTATTTATATGTTGATGTCTCTCATTTATCCTCAGCTTTCTCTCAATTTTTTTTTGGCATCCTTCACTAAATGAGTTGCAAGAAAACTGCTAGTGTAGATTTCTCGAACCTTTCTTGGATCATATTACCTCGCAGAATGGATCGCTTGCAACCTTAGACCCTTGACGCTTCAGCTTTTGGTTCACTTAGATTCTAATTATCTCACATCCTAGATTCCTTGCGAAGAAAGTTCCTTAGAAGAGCACAGTTGTCCTACATGCTATGCATTCGAGATTGTTCCCACTATGCTAAAATCCTACGCTTCGTGAATCTTAAGTTATCTTGAATCTTAAATTACTCAGGTAACATATAGTTAATTCTTAAAAATCTTAAGTTTTAGATTGGATTATTTGATATTCAAGCTTTATTACCAAACGATTATTGTTGATTTTTAAAATCTTCAGCTGTATTTATCCATATGTATTCTCCATGAAAATTGAATGCAGCTGGTTTTGTGTCTGTATCGCTCGCATACATGACAAAATATATGTATATCTTTTTTTTCTATATATATATTATATATTTATATATATATAAATAATATTGTCACTATGTGGTGTGCTATGGATGTGCTCATGGCATAGTGATTTATAATCGTGACTATGTTGTTCGAACGACGATTTCGATCTTACTAATTATCGCGTTTCGAGGGACAACAATGAGAATTTCTTACAAACATAACGTTGCGAGCAAGAAATTAAATTAAAATTTAAAAAAATACAGATAAATATAAGATAGATAATAAATATAAATTGTGTACATATTTTATGTCTCTTTGAGTTTGCTAAAAATCGAGATATTTTTATATAATTAGATTTTATAAGAAAAAATTGTGAAAAAATTGGAAGCAAATTCTATGAAATAATAAAAAAGTTTGTCTTTGTCAAAATATTTGGTCGTCCCTCAAAAAGCGACGTTGGAGGACTTATACAATGTGCCAGCTGCTTGTATGCCCTATGAAAGCATGAAAGAAGCTGATTAGCGAAGAATCTATTGAACATCGTTAATTACTAATAATTGTGTACAACTTGGCGGACCCTTACAAATTAGAAGTATTAATTAGAAGTATTAATTTCTTAAGTCAACGAAACAGGCTCTTTACAGAAAATCGATGTTCCGATAAATTAAATGATACAATTAATCCTTTTGGCAATTGTCCGCAAAATATTGACATTTTATATTTACAATTAGTTTATTTATAACTGACTGCTATTATAACCGAAAAGAATATTAAGAACTAAAAATATTGATAGAAACTGCCTTTTTCCAGAGAGAATATGAAAGGATTCTAGGGTAATATAACGGATCTACGCGTTTCTTTGGATCCTTGGATCCTTGGATACTACCAAGATCTGTGGATTTTCATGTTTTTGAATATTGAATTTCACGGTTTCTCACATTCTTGAGATCTTACAGATTTACGAATTAATTATAGGCTTAGATGATTAAAATTTTATGTCCTCGAGTACTAATAATAAGATAAATATTATATATAAATTCTCAAATTTGAGAAGAGAATCAAGATTCTGAAACTCTGTCGAACATACTATTAACCTGATTATGAAACTTTGTAACTTGAAACTTGCAGATTTTTATTTCTTATTTTTTTTTGTTTGACGATTGAATTCCGCACGACACCTAACGTGATACTGAATCTGCATTTTTCAAGTTATAAAGTTTAATAATTGGAGCAACAATGTAGAGTGTTTTAAAACGCAGCTCAAGATTTACTTTTCTTATGTTTATTATAATGATTAAAATTTTATATCATTAATATGATAATAATACAATACATACTAAAATAAATTCTTAAATTTTATTGCACATAATATCACGAGTAAAGCTTGGGTTGCATTATTCTAAAAATGAACACTCTATATTAAATAGCGATTGTTTATGTATACAATAATATACATATATGTATGTCTCTCTTCACGTGCTGATATTGGCTTCTCTGTTTCTTGTCTGTTTCTGTCTGCCATCTCTGTCTGTCTGCATGCTGTGGGACGCTCGGATACGAAAATACCGAATCGAACCACCCCGCTACGTAAACTGCAATGGTGTAAATCTTCATATTGCAAAACAAACAAAAAAAAAAAAATAAATAAATGAACGTATAATAATACATTCATGACGGTGTAAAATGACGGCGCGTCACATGGACGTCTGACGATGATGATGATGACGAATGCTAATGATGATGACAACGAATTACATACACACAATACGTATATACAGAGAACTACCACGGCTCTAACACTGTATTTTTAGTTGGTATGCTCATGTCGGTGGTAGGGGGTGTTTTCGTAGTATTTGCTCTGATGGCTCTCTGCTACAGGTCAGTCGTAGTACATAAAAACTTCTCCCTCTGTCTCAGGTTAGTGTGCAGAAACATACACAAGTAGAACTTTTCTCTCTCTCTCTCTCTTTCTTTCTCTTTCTTTCTTTTTCTTTCTTTCTCTTTCTCTCTCTCTCTCTCTGTCAGTGTCCTTTTTCTTTTTTCTTCTGTTTCTTTCTTTCTCTCTTTCTTCTCTCTTCCTTTTCCGTACGTGTGTTACAAGGGGTGAAAGGAGTGTGCGCACTAAGAGTGGCATGCCGCTCTTCGAGAAATTTGCAGTGCAACTTGTTTCCTCAGCAAGCATTCGGTTTCGTTGCTCGATGTTGCTTTCGTGTTACTGTTCATGGTAGTGCACCTTGACATGAATCTTGACGAAAGGCTAATTTTGCTGTTATGTTTTTATTTTGATCACGAAATCGGTTCTTATTTGACGATCGATTAATAGTCTAGTCAATGCTTATTTATAGCTTCGATAAAGTCCGATATCATTTTCGATTAATATAATCTTTAGATCCTCTAGATGCACCTTGAATTTTTTCAAAGTGTAGAACTCATATATTTCGAAAATTACATTTTACAGGAAAAAATTGTATTAATGTAATCTTGTATTAATAAGTTTTATTTTGAAATAATTAATCAAAAGACTCTCATGAAAGTTTTAAATAAGCTCGCTAAGAAATATGATTCCAAATTCCTCGAAGAATGAAGCTTGGTTACTAGCGTACGCTTTTCTCGATTGTGACCCTCTTTATGCATGTATACATTATTAATGTGCTCATATGTACATGCATATATTCATGCAATTAAAATTGGTATCTGTATTTTTTCCATACTTTTTTATTTTTACTTTTTCTTCTATAATTTTGATCTTTACTTGCTTTGCTAACGGCAAAAAGAATTGCAAATGTTAAAAAATGTTTGTATCGTAGCACAATCATTAATAATCGAATTTGTTTCAAATTATTAAAATTATCGAAAATATTTAAATATTTCTCGTTCAATTATACATATTTAAAAATCAAAATTTATTTTTAAATCGCAAAGAAATTTGAACTAAATGTTTATCACTCAAGATTTCACCCTCTTAAAATTTATTATTTAATTTTAAACTTTGCTTATCTCTTATCAATTTAATCCTAAACAGTATACGATATCTTTCGTTCATAAAAAAGGCGCGTTTTTAATAACAGCTTTAATGATACGGTATTCTGGAAGCGATGACATTATGTTGCTAAATATTTTCAATTGATTTTTTGCTTTTTACTGCTGTATTTAATGCTGTTTAGGGTTAAAATGTCATTTGTGTGTGTCTTTCGCTGATTTGTTAATGGGTACTGCAGTGGTGAAGGCGATTCCTGTAGGGCCAGCTGCGGATGTACCAATTGACTGGTTATCTATTTTGCTTTGGAATTAACTTTTGCATGCTAAGAGGGTCCATTGACTTTTGTAGCGGGAATATAAATCAAACGTTGATCAAACGCGAATTTTCTTATAATGCTTATGTTATTCGTAACAATTTTGATCACAGATACGTAGACTTGGATGATACTCATCCGCCAGTTTAAGAGGCATTATCAGCGCCATGTGGATAATCATTGCAGAGTATTGAACGTTGTTGAATATTGATAGTTATGAGCTGTATCGCAAAATATTGGATACGTTCGATTAATGACCAAACTATTAAGTTTTGATTAATGTTATATAATGTGACAAAAAAAAGAAAATTGTTATCTCCATGTTTAATTTGTAAAAAATTACATGTAATAAAATATTCTTATTAAATTTAGCATATATATAATTAACATAAGTTTCTCGAACCTCGTATGTTAGCAACGTTATATTTACTGCATTTTTCTACGGAATCTTCCTTCAATATTACCTCAGGTGACTCTTTGATGCGTTAATTAATATAATTAACAGAAAACTAACATTTTTCTAACTTTAATGAATCATATGACAGCTATGCTAACAATTAACAAAAATGCTAGTCGGTCCACATAACTGATAATCTCTCTTAGCGTTATTTACACCCTGAAAAATTATTCGATATTACGAATAAATCTTTCGCTAGCTTGCATGCGTTTCGTCATTTTTTTTTTTTACCGCAAAACGAGTCATCAAGCTCTGCGTAATCTGCGAATTTCTCGCAGAAGGAAGAGCACCGTCCAGAAATATGACCCCCCTTACTCGAAGAAGCCGCAGCAAAAGAGCTACAGCAGTGTTTCCGGTAATCATCACGCGGAAGCTGCGGCGTTGGACACCGTCAACAAGATCCTCACCTTCGGCAGAATGCCTCAATACAGGTACGACGGTCATTTCGTTGCTCATTTTGCCGTTAGCTCTATTTTATAGAGTATTTATAAGAACTAGTAAAAAACTGACGAACTTTGCAAGAACTAGATAAGTTATGCAGAGAATTGAGTATGTGTGAAGTACAATTTCTAATAGTCGAAATAGAGAATTGATTTTTTTAATTACTGACACATTATTTGCGATAAGACTAGTTAGCGTATATAAAATATTATAAATTTCTTATGAAAATAAGATAATTTGTAATATTTGTGGCAATATTTTTGATTATAATTTTATTTTAAAATAAATAATTTATTTATGCATCGATTTAGATGAAATATATAGACGTCAATTAAAAATTAAGAATAAATTAAACAATTTCTAGTGGAATAACTTTTACAATTTTAATGTAATTTGAATTAATTAATAAGAACGTCGCTTTTTAATTTACGATTTCAATTGAAAGATTTTTATAATAATCAATTATAAATGATTATCATCAGTAAGAATGTACATTGACAGTAAGAGCATCTCATTACATTTTACATTTTATTTTAATTCTCATCTTATTTCTCATCACTTCTCGCAGTTAGCAATCTCAACATGCATGTTGAACATTTTTTTATCAAATCATCGCGATGTCCCAGAATTCGTCCCACGGATGTTAATAAGTTTATCGATGTATGGTGTAGAATTGCAGCTCGAGATGCTTCTGTCGTTCGATCGTTTTCGAGGAACATCGTCATTGCGTGACGACGAACGAAATTCGCAGTATACTCTTGTAATTTAGACAATTAAAGGAAGGGTCAAAAATCGCCAGTTAGTTTATATTTAACATAACTTTTGACATTTTTTCAAGAAATGGCACTCAATGTCTTTTTCGTGCAAATCGATTTTTGGCTCATCCTAGATATAAAAGGTAACGCTTATTATTGAAAATGCGCGAGCAGCTTTGTAAGAAGTGAGCTGAAATTTGCTTGAATCTATGTGATTTTGGAGTTCGATACCTTTTTATTTCAGGTAAATCTCGACTCCTTAACTTCACATAAGCTTTAGTATGCGCTTAGTAATGATCTTCCTGATAGGCATTATTAATTGCATTAGATATTTAAATATAAAATACAAAATTCTTTCGAAGGATTATGAAATAATGCGCGGATATAATAGATTATTGTGTAGAAATGTAAAATTATTATGTTTTAACAAGATAAATTCCTTTTTTATAAAACTATCCTAATTTGTTACAGATTGATAATTATTTTAATTGTAAGACATCAAATTGATATTTCTTGTAAAGTTTTAAACCAATGGTCGAGATTCAGTGAATAAAAATCACGGTTCGTGAAAAACTATATTTATTTATCGCACTTTTTATTTATCACGTTCATCAATAATATAATCGAAGCGCGCGAACGACAGAAAATTACGAGCACTGCTCGATCAAGTTTTTTTATTCCACAAGTAAGGAAGATAGCATTACAGAATTTTATTAACCCTCGACTGTTATGAACTAAGCAATATTGCAAAGAATTTAATTTAAATATAGTAAAAAATATTAATTACAGATTGCAATACTAATTTTTGCAAACACAGTATAATTGTTCTTAAATATTTTTTTAAATAATTAGTAATGCCATTAAGTAAAATATCTTTTTGATTATCAAGTCAAAATAAATTACAATTTTCAATGTAATATCGATTACATCATAACATCTCAAATTCATATAAATTAACATTATTAAGAAAAATAGTTACAACAGACAATATATTATCCGGCAAATAAAATAAAAATTCAACAAAATGTAAGTTCTATAATCTTTTTTGCAATTTTAGAATGTCATTTTTTAGCAATGAAGTAAATATATAAAAAATAAATAAATAAATAAAATTCTTTTGATTACTGATAAGAACTGAACGAGAAATACATTTCTTATTTGAATAAAAATAGATTTTAAATGAACAGTGCACATGGCAATTGAGGGTTAATAAGAATAGCCGCGGCATGCCTATATTAGTATATTTCTAGCCGCGGCGAGACCCAGCGCGTGCTGTTTCGACCCCCGAATAACGTCGCCGCCGCCGACGGGCCAAGAGTCAAGTAAGTTTCACGTTCTCGGTTATATTCACTGTTACACTTTTGGTCCAATCAAGGAATCATAAATTGCGCTACTTTTAGCACCCTTCTAATCATTGACAAACAAATCCATTGACATTTCTTGGCATTAAATCATTTTGTAATTACTTTTTTTCATCAAAAATCGATAGTTATCCGACATAACAGTTAATTTATTAAAATTCGGAGGATATTCGATAAATTAACTAATATTTATTTTAAAATTGTACTACTTTAGAATATCTATTATTCCTTACTTGGACCATTGTCAATGATCGCAATAATTTGATCGGTGATTCATCTGCGTTTCAATAACACCGGAAATAACGCGTTGCAGTTACTGTAATCGTAGCTTCGCAAATTTTTGACGATTTAAAGAATTAACTCTTCTTTGCATCTAACTATATTTTTTAACAGTCCGGCTCGGATTCATATTTTATTTCTCTTCTTGTATTTTGCACAAAACTATTTTTTGCGCAATCACAATTTCAATAATTCTGCTGACTTTGCGACACACACGCTGCGGTCAAACCGAATGTAGATGTTCGAATTTTTGCATGCTCATTGCTATCCACACCGCATAGCTCTTATTATTTCATCCTGCTATAATTTTTTGTTCATTGCATGATGGTGGGTGCACTTTTACAGGGTGTTCCAGTATTATTGTAGAGTTTACTACATATTTTTTTTTCTTCATAAAATCTGGGATACCGTGTACAGATATTAAATAACATATCATTAATTTTTAATTATGCATTAAATACATTAACAATATTGTACATAAAACATTCACCAAGAATTGTTTCTTTTTTCACTCAATATCTCATCGTAAAAGCATTAAACATCATTTTTTAATGATGATTTTTATGATCACCATTCATTTTTGCAATTATGTGTAAACAGACAATGATAGGACAATTGCAATAGTTATTGCAATGCCAATGGCCTAATTTCAAAATCAATATATAGTAGATATTATAATATGAATAAAAATTTTAATCCTCTGAGGCACAGAAGAATTTAATGTTTTTTTTTTTTTATGATAAACGCTCAAATACTTCTCAAAGACTGACTCAATTAAGTTTCTGCACATTTCTCTTTTCGTACAAATAGGAAATAGCACGAAGTATTGAAGATAATAATAAAAGCAAAACATCGATATAGATCTCTGACCGGTCTTTCAGGGAGCATAAACCGCAGCCGAAGAGGCACGGCGTGGAGGAGGAAGATGGAGGTACGGGAGCAGAGGAGGTTGTCTCTTTCATTGATCTCCCACCAAACAATCTCACAAAGTTGCCTGAGAAGGGAATTTTAAAGAAACACGGTGGTTACGGTATTGTAATGCCTGATAGTTGTAACACAACAAATGGGCGTGATGATTCACGATATCCCGTGAAGAGTAGCTGGAGGAAGCTCGAATGAGCCAAAAGATCAAAAGAAAGCTAGCCGAACTTGTAGCTCAAGTGATGCGCCTAATCACATAGTGTTGAATAACATAAAAAAAAGCACAGAAAATTAGCGCGGAAAAATGTAATCGAATTTTCGAACTTTATTAGTCCACGATTATTTTGAGTGATAGTCAATATTGAATATTTTACTTTGAAAATATTAATGCTACTTTTAACAAAAAATTTTTTTAGAAAATCCTATAAATATAAATGAAATATTTAGTTCTCTGCAATCACTTTTTCCAGTTTGTTAACAGAATATTTTCAGTTACGGAGTCAAATATTTATGTTTTCTATTGTATATTATTGCATAAATGCTAAATTTAATATTTGTAACGTAGAATTTAAACAGCGAAATCTCTAAAAAAAATTATTCACAATCTTGCGCACATTACATGCTCGGTTATCTTTCGATGCTCTGCTAGTTTGAGCTTCTTGCACCGACCCTTCGCGAACGTTAACCCTTTATAAATCACTGATTCTCACATACATTCATCTTCATCACCAAATAAAACGGTTATCATATAAAACAAATTAATTTAGTATATAAAATTGTAGATATACTAACATTACATTACATTTCAGACCTAATATTATCTTAATATATAAGGGGTTAATACAGGACTCTCTTAAAAGCATCTTCTAAAGAAATCTTTACAATCATCTAACTCTCTCATGCGCTGTTAATGACTTGTGTGACTTTTTCCACTATGCGCAAATAAAATATACGAAGCTCCTTTTTATTCTGTGTAAGAAAAAATCGTAGATCAATGAAACTAATTTAGTAACAGCACATTAGCGTCCGCAAAAACGTGTACGAGAAAAATTGCTAAATCTCGAAAGAAAGAGCCCATAAGACGGATTGCGCACGAAAGAGTTAACGCGAACTGCACCACCGAAAGACCTTGTTTCACGAAACGGTAACTCGAGTCACATGTTCGCTAGGAATAGGTGGAGGCGCGATAGAGCACGTGGAAAGAACCCTGAATCAGCTGAATGGCTATCACGAGGACATACTCGAGGTGCTGAAGAACGCGGCCAGCCGTCGCGATCTCGCGGGCACTCCATCGGGCAGCGGCAATCTCCTGGACGAGGACGCACTACGCAAGTCACTGGCCGAGTGCGGCTACCCCGATGTGTACCGCAAGGACACTGACGGCCAGGACAACGGCATCGACAACGGACAGGAGGACGAGGAGGAGGATGTGGAACTGCAGCCGCCGTGCGGCACCATTCGTATACGCACTCTCGAGGACCTCATTCGCCAACTCGAGCATCGAGCGACTACGAGGTAGAAATAAAAAATATTTCGTACACCAGAATTTCCTTGATGCTTTGGAATTTAAAATTCTCAAATCTGCTATGATTTTTTAATATTTCAAATATTGGCGCTTCTTTAAAAATCGCCGAATATGTAGATTTTAAAATTCTTGAAAGTTTAAATTCTTCGATTTTAACATACTGCCATAATTATCTTATTTTTGGAAAGAAATTCAATTCTTTTCGAAATGAAAAAAATACACTGATAATTATTTCTGTTATCAGACCCTACATGAGTGGCCAGATGAGTCCGAGCGGGTCCGAAGAGATACGAATATCCGAGGGTGATCCGGATCGACACTACAGAATCGATTCTTCTGTCTGTAGCGAGTCATCTCAAGGGTAAGAACTTGCGAGAGAGAGAAATATGCGCGCTTATGTCAGACAAGCTTTTAAAACTCAATTCAGACAAAGAGCCTTAATTTCAAAATACTCTTTTCAACTATAGAAATGTTTATTACGATACACTATAATGAAATATTTCCTAGACATTTTAGTAATGATTTGTAAATTAGACATTTATTTCAATTCAACAACGTACCGAAACAATCGGTTAAATACTTCCGAGCTTTTTCATACTTTGTTAATCACAATTATTGTCAGCAGACATTTTACACGCTGCCATAACTCTCACTGTGAATTGCTTACTATCTCCTCTTTCGCCAATTTATTACATTAACCCTCTCATATGTCAGTCAGTTGCTACAAAATGTTTTTAAAAATATTTCTATCTAAATTACTAAAAGCGTAATTTAAATTACATTTTTAAAATTCAATTTTATTTTTTAGTTAACATGTGGCAGTAACTTTTATATAATATAATAATATTCTTTAATCTCTTTCCTCGTTATTTTTAATATACTTTTGTTGTTATTCTGCCAGAATTAAATTAAACTTGTAAAGAATAAAAGTACCTGTACAGAATAAGAGATTATATGCAAAATTTTAATACTTCTAATATTTCACAAAAAAAAAAAAAAAAAAAAAAAAATAGCGCAAAGAGCAAAAAATAATGATATAATAATGTACTTAAATGAGCGGAAAGATCCGAATAATTATTACAGTAGAATGAGAGGGTTAACTTATTATCTTACTCTGCTTCCTATCTTGCGCATCAGAAGGCTGTCAGACTCGACGCATTTATTTATGTATATCAGACACTACATTCGATGTTTTTGCGAAACCGTAGATAACAATAAGATACGCGCAAGGATAACGGGAAAGGATACACACTTGGTAATAAATCATTAATAGATATGGATAAAAAAAAAATTTACTCGAGGTAAAATGCGGAGTCTGTTTATACTGTATAATCATAACGAGCTTGATTATAACGAATTCATTGTGATCCAATCATAATATAAGGCGCCGACGAGTGAGAAACGAAATTGTACGAATTCGTTAGCGTCATAAAATTGATGAAATAAAATTGACTTACCGATACCAGGTGTGAATATCGCTGTTGTCGCACCCTAGAGAACATAAAAAAAAGAAATTATTAATTATATTATAAGTTATATAGATAATTAATTATACCAAAAATAAAACAAATAAGATAAGCGTCCCGAGTGTTTTCTACACATAAATACCAAATTAATATCTAAATTAAATTCTCCAGTATCAGAGAGAAAGAGAGAGAAAGGGAGAGAGAGAAAGGGAGAGAGAGAAAGAGAGAGAGCGAGCAGGAAGTAAATTCTAAATGACAAATAAAAAAAGTCTCAGCACAAATGGAAGCCGCGTAGCTCGTAGACTTATGCAGGAATTGATTGGATTTCCTACGTAGAAGCAGAAGATGTAGCCGCGGCCGCGACGAGGACGCTAGTAGATTCGTCTACGGTAGATACCGTCAGCCGACGTCCCGCAGTCCTTACGGCAACCATCAGCACACCCATCAACACTCCCATCAAATGCACCTCGAGGACGAGGGTATCTATGAAACTGCCGATCCTGACAGAGGCTCAAATACTAGGGGTGAAACACCCGATTGTGAAAGGTATAGCAAGAATCCTTGCATCACGAGAAATCCTACGGCTTCACTAGTAGCAATTATTCACTGATATATCCGACTTGTCGCGATTCACATCTACAACACCTCCCCCTGTCACAAATCCCACGATTAAACCGCGTATACCTCAGATAAGGATGGTGCATGTGTTGTTGTTTGCAAAAAAAAAAAAAAAAAACCTAGTGAATATATTGGCGAACCCGAATTTAAAACAATTAAAAATCATATGAAAATCATGTGTCGTATCGAAAAAATTAACAAAAGGCGCAAACCAATTTGAGAAAAAGTAGGATTCTAGATTCAAACGGAACTACATCTTTAATCATTAAAGATTCTTCCGTCATATTACGGATATGTTTAAGAATGAGAGTAAAGAATTGTGAGTATTACGCCAACTGTTACTGACTGAAGAGTTGGAAATCTATGTAAAGTATAAATAGACTCGGCATACGATATTCAACTTGCAATTCCGCAATTGCAGCGTTCGCAATTGCATTGCATATCGAACTAATCAAACAGTTTATCGAAAGTAATACAATTTATATAAAAAATTTCGAAGAGAGAAGCAAAATGCACACGAAAGTCTGCATGCTTTTTCGTTCGCTTTTGTGTTGTGTGAATGCTGCTCTAAACAACAAAACAATGACAACATTTGTTTGGCCAGTGAGAGCTCGATACAATATGTCTCAAATCTACCAGATATTTTTCCAAATAGCGTAGATCCAATATTAGCAATTCACGTTCTGCAAATAACTAAACTTTGCGATTAATCTTCATTTCTATTATTAATTTATTATTAAATTTATTAATATTTAAATATTCTGTAGATCTGGGACATCTGATGAAGCCTAAGATTACGGTCGAATACCGCGCATGTTGCTTCTAGCATTTTGCATTGCAAAAAGTTTTCAAAACTGAAATGAACGAATCTCTCAATCTATCAAGCGACTGTAAGAGACTTTTCGCAGTTCATTTCCCAACAGAACGTGAATTTATGTTGTAATCGATGTTTGCGCACTTATCCTTATCTGAAGTTTTTCTTCGTGATGATATGTTCGAGGATAATGTGTACGAGGAATGTTGAATTAAATAGTAATCGTAGTGATGAATCGCAAGGCTTCGCACGCGCTTTAAATGTTTAAAAAAGAATTAATATTTCAGTTTATGTGTGTACGTGATACTTCCTCTACAGAATTAGGGTTTAATCCGGATTTAATTAGAGCTTCCTAAAATAAAATCGTATTTTATGAAATTGATCGAATACATCGCAATTTTTTAAATAAATTTAATATTACTGATTCGCGAGCTTTTAGAAATATTAAATTAATAGTTATCAGTGCTACATTATTTATTTGATTGGACATAATTATTTATTTTTTGACGCTAAAAATAAGAGAAGCTACTAAATCCAATTGACTAAATAATTAACTCGAGGAATATATCAATATAAATTACACATCACAGCTAGTAATCAAGCAGAATTAATGATTTTACGACAAATGTGCCAATCGATTTATCGATTTGTCAATTTAGCTGCACCTTACTATTCATCCCACTTCCCTTCTTTTGCTCGATGCCGTAAACTTTTTGTCAATAGCCACGAAAAAAAAAACCAAAGCTCAATCTAAAGAGTAATCACGTATGCACTAACGACTCTCGCTTCCGAGTCAACCGGTCTTCCCGTTGGCTCCGTTTACTGAATGTTGTTACGTCCTGCGTTCGAATGCAGCATTAGTGGCGGTGGACTAGATCCAATGGGCTCGTGTAATCTTATTATTTTCTAGTGATGCATTTATTCAAGCTCAACAACAAGTAGCCCGGTGGACTAGTGAGGACGGAGGAGGAGTGCAGCACCGGCCGCCGCAGCAGCCACCCCCGCCACCCGCTATGCAGTTGCCGGTGCAGCAACAGACGCAGCAGCAGCAACAGCAACAGCAGCAGCAGCAACAGCAACACCAACTGCCGGTGGAACAACTGCCAATTAAGCAGCGCGGCTATTATCCATCCCCCCCACAGACCGAAAACAATCTCGACGCTAGCAACAACGCCGAGGTCGAATCTGCTCAATCACAGCAACAACAGCAAACGCTAAGCGACATTCGTGAAATCGATGTTAATCACTTGCCTAATATTAACAAACGCCCAATAGACGATAACTTTAGCCTAGATTGTAATATAATGAATAATGGTTCTCCCAAAGAATTACTTACCAACAACACTAGTGATAATGAAAATACTGCCCTACTGCCCCATACGCATTTTCCTGAGTACAAGCATTGATAATTAATTAATCGATGACAGATAGTGTCCGAGGAAAAAAAAAAAAAGAGAGAAAAGGGAAAAAAAATCGTAATAATAATAATAATAATAATGCAGTATAGTGGTGTGACAATGATGACGATGACGACGATGATTTAATCTCGAACTCGCATTTTATACTGAATAGTGTAAATAACGATGAACCGTAATTGCATCGGTTACGACAACAACAACAACAACAACACGTATGAAATTATAATGAATTCAAATAATCTATATGAAATGTTTATTAATAAACATTAGCAAAACGATTTACTCAAATCTCACTGTGTCTGTTATTTCATCACTTTGCATGAACAATGTAGCGATCATGTTTAATGAATAAATTAATTTGCGAACTTATTTCATTGAGTAAAATAACTCGAGAATGTCTTAAGTTTTAAATCTTATATAAAAATAAATTACAGAAGAGAACACATATATTCTCTAGAATATTATGTTTATTAGTAAGTGACATAATAATTTTTTGAATAAAATATCATGCAACATTCTTTCAGTACTAATACAACTTTTTTTTTTATTTTGATATTAGATTGTAGCATATACAAAAATTAAGAAAATGCATCTACATACATTTCTTCAATCCTTTGATTCTTTGCAAGATTTTCCAAACAGCAATTCCTTCAACTAATATTAGAAATTTTTCAAAATTTACCTAAATACATTGCCGGCATAGAGTAATTAAAGAGTAATTACGTCTAAAAAACTAACGGAATTAATTTTTTATATTTTGTATGTAAGCATTATCTGTTAATTACTAATTTTTAGATATTTACGTGCAATAAAAAAGAAAGTAGTATAAAACTTGATTGTTAGTGCGCACTAATAAATTTGTTTGTTTTTTTTTATTTTTAATAAGTTTTTTGTGCACTCTTGGAGTGCACTTTTATTGCATATCCCAGACAGCACACATGTCCAAAATACATCTAAAGGATGCCCAGAGGACGTCCTGTCATCCTAAAAACGTCTTCGGGATATCCTCTGGACGTCTTTTGGATATGCTGTGCTGTCAGGGCATGCATTAAAACGCGCTCGGATCAACAAAGAAGATAATAGCTGTGTCTCTTTTCTTCATGTATATATGTATATACTGTAATTTATAGTTTTTATTTTCGTTTGTAAAAGCGAAAAAAATCATGCATACAAATTATGAACATATAAAACCAAATAGCGGTTTATCAACAGTGTCACGCAATACTTTAGGTACTTTTTAGGAATTTTTTATAGATACAGATAGTGCTGTGAATAAATACCTTTTTCATCCGTCACACCTTCCGGGATGATTGAACTGCACAGTCACCTGCTTAGCAAACCCACGGACTTGAATTCATACACTGCGGTCAAACACAACACTCATTGACACTGACACATACATACATAAACACTAGGATCATGATCCAGCTTTTTGAAAGCGCAAGGAAACTTAAACACAACCTAGCTTTTACATAACGGTTTTCGCAGCCGGGCAAGATGGACATTTCTAGCGCCATCTATTTATTTCAAAGGTAAAAAAAATCATCTGTCACACCATGTGACTCAGACGGCAGGATGGGCATAATCCTCCCGATGTCCTTTGTATTATATCGCCTAATAAAAAAAAATATATAAATATATAAAAATATATAAAAATATAAAAATATATAAAAATATATAAATATATAAATATATAAAAAACGCACACAACAACACAACTGACACAGGTGAGAGCGGCTCGTTCCCAATGCCATCTATATTATTTAATAAAACAAAACAAACAACTGTCAAAATTGTTAATCTGCAATTGACAATAACAATTGACAATAACAACGTGCGTCACACACGTCATTTAAAAATCCGTATATTTGTTCATGCGCAAAGCGCTCTGATAATGATGCCAGAAATGAAACGCGGTAACATGAAACTGTAGTGGAGGGGATGATGCGCACATCGAGAACCTCATACATGAACACTGCGCGAAGCATATATACGAGATTCTCGGTGTGTGCGTTAACCCCTCCACTAAAATTTCATGCGAAGTTTCTAGATGCTTTCTGGTTTCTGGTTGTTAACGCTTCGTCTCATTCCGTCTCGGTGCCAGTCGTGATACTGGACGTTATTTTATAGTAGCGTGTAGTAGCGTCCGTTGTGGCCTTGGTGTAACGTATAATCAATGTTATTTGTTTAATTTATTTGTCACGGTTGAAAGTGAGAGCTTCTATGGTTGACTATGGCTTATCAAGATTCACCTTTTTCCACAATGTACGATCGCCAAGATGATTATGATCTTGATGAAGACAACGAGGAGTATTTGGACGACGACCGGGATGTCGAGGAGCAAGACGAAAGTGATGAAGGTATGCATGAAAAAATGATATAAATTCCGTAGAAATCCTTTTATCCTTCGCATTTTTATTTTCCTGATTTTTAGAGGTATGATTATTCCATAACCTTAAGTATTCCATAATCTTGATTCCATAAATCTTAAATACTGAATGTTCAACAAGATTATAAAACTAGTCATACTAATGGAAATTTTTAGATACGGAGGAGGCGAGTGAAACTGACATGGGGAAATCTGAAGAATACACAGAAATTAAAGAACAGTTAGTTTATGAAATAAAATATAACTTGTACAACAAGTAATATTCAACAATGAATTTAGTATTGGATGTACCTTAATGTTCGATTTTTCAGAATATACCAGGACAAATTAGCAAGTTTAAAGAAACAATTGCAGCAATTGAAGGACGGCACACATCCTGAATATAATCGCAAATTAAAACGATTAGAAACACAATATAAAGAACGGTAATTAATTAATTTTTTTATTGACACAATAATTATTTATGAAAAGTTCCAGCAATTATATTAATTAGAATTGTTACTTTTTTTATTTAGACTAAGGCTAAATATAATTTATCGTGATTATTTGACGGAATGGGTTGAACGAGATTATATATTGGAGAAGAAAGCTGCAGCAAAAGAATTTGAAGAAAAGAAAATTGATCTGAAGGAAAACCTGCTTACTGATATGGAAGAGAAGCGAAAAATGATTGAGTCGGATCGTCATACGATGGAACTTACTGGTGATTCAATGGAGGTATTGAAATTCATTTTTGTTTAAATGACATACATTCTTATTTTATTCTTGTTAATTAGACATTAGAATTTATGCTTGTTTAAATAGCATACATGTATTTTTTATTAACATTATCATATTGTTCTCATTAATTAGGCATTGTAAATTTTCGCTGTTTAAATGATATACATTTATGGTGCAATCTAAAATTAATGCATACAAAATTCTCAAAATTATATATAAAGAAATTTATATTATCTTATATTTATCTCTTTCTTCGTGAGCACAGTTGTCAGTGCTTAATTTACAAATTTTGTATGCGTTTTTACACTTCAAATTGTAGAACCTAAACTTAATCTCGATGTTTTTTTCATTATTTCTACAAACTGAGAATAGTTTGCAAAAATATTCACACAATTTTTACCTTTTAAAAATAGAAATTTGATAATTACATGCTGCTTTTCTCGCGAAAACCATCACAATCAGCGAAAGCATGCTTTAAAGAAATTTTATTTTGTTTTACACGCGCGCACCCACAAAGACGAATGTTGTGCACCATCTATGGCAAGGTCTCCTCCTTCATCTACAACTACAAGCATTATAATAACAACGGTTGTAGAGTCATGGCAAAAATGTATGCGTCATTTTTTGATTGCACTTTGTACGTGTTTTATTAACAGTATTATTTTATTATTATTAAAACTAGGTAAAGCCGGTAATGACGAGAAAATTACGCAGACGCCCGAACGATCCAGTGCCAGAAAAAGTAGAGAAACGACGAAAGCCACCACCAGCACAACTAAATTATTTATTGGACGAGAAGGAGATCGAGCTCGACTTAAAAGCGATTAATCGCGCGAAAGCACCGACCGCCGTTCGTAAACCAGGTGCAAATAAACGTAAAAATTACAAAACGCGTAATAAATATCAAACATTTAATAAACCGTTTGCAAAAATGCACAAGCAAATCAATATGTATAAAAATATGTATATGAGTATTTTCAAACATATATCTAAATGTAAGAAATAAATTACTTAATGCTTATTTACAGTAGTTATACCACATTACAACACGGTAAATATGCCATCTCAACATATACCACAGCCTCCTGAAACCTCATTGGTGGAAACTCGAATTGAGGACGGGAAATTGTTGTACGAACGAAGATGGTACTTGCAATTTGTTTCTAATACTATTTTGCATTTAGAGTTTGATTCTTTCTAAATGTAAGAAAATCTTTGGTCGATTTTCATCAACAGGTTCCATCGCGGTCAGCCTGTTTATGTCGAAGGCAAGGACCTTAGTAGATTCGCGGCGAATATTTCAGCAATCGGCACCGAGGTCGTAAGTATTCGAGGCTGCAGTAAGTATTTGATGTATTATATATTATTACAAGATATATATTTTTCCCAGATCTGGGTGAAAAAAGTTTCGGACAGCAGCAAAGTGCGCATTTATACGTCACAGCTGAGTCGCGGAAAGATTTCCATTAAACGAAGGGCCTCGTAATGAACTCTTCAGCATCGATTACTTCAGACTTCCATTACGTCGCGTCTAGCGTTACTAATTAAAGTCGTGTTTGCTGGCATCAAATCGATGATTTTCACGACGCTGGTTTTCTGCCACCAGTAAAACCACGCTTTTTGGTGATACTGCATCGTCAGGTAAATCCAGATAAAGAAAGACAGAACTAATAACGCCATCATCGCCAACAAAGAATAAGTGGTCCATCGTGCAAGGGGAAAGTTGTCGTAATTATTCATGGCGTAAAAATCGGCCGCCACCACGCAGATATAGGAACATCCGATGGTTACTGGGGTGACTACGAGACATCTGAGTAAATCAGCTTTTACGTTACGAACATACATCTGATGGTCATCGTGATTGAGACACAACCAGACTATAACAGATCGGAGAATCTTGTAGCGAGGTGTTCGTTCCACACGAAACTCGTGACCGCACAATTCGCAGCTATTCTTGTTGCTCTCTTCTAACCAACGCTCCAAGCACATCAAATGGATCGCACCCATTGTTCCCTAGTCATAATTATTATCACTATGAAAGTATAATTTTCTCGAAGTATATATATTAAATTATTAAAAGTAAAAAAACATACCAATGTATAAAAATATATAAAAATTTAGGTGAGGTACGTTATTTAATGAATTTTTTGTCATTCAACTTTTCGATTTCAAAAAATTCTTTAATACTTATATTTATTATATATACAATTCTGTTATCTCAGAGGCAAGTAGAAAATAGTAATAGGGAAAGATTTTTAAGGACAGAGGACAAAGAAAGATTTGAAGAACTACATATTACGAATATTATGGCTATTGAGACAAAATGTGCAAAAGCGAAGAAAATGGAATAAAATGGAATGTGTGCAAATATAGTTAGTTTGTAAGTTAGTTTGTAAGTTTTCGAGTGAATAGAACTATTTTACTATGATGTCATTAATCAGATTGATTAATGACATAGTAAAATAGTGATTAATTAATCCTGGATGGATCAAAATTCGTTCACTCGAAAACGTAGTGTAAGCAAAGCAAAGTTGGAAAGCGGAGGCAAAGTTTATTGTAACTTTAACAAGACAATAAAACATTACATTGCTGATGTCTCAAACCTTGCATTTGCACGGGTATATAATAGGCAATTCTTGATTAGGATCGTAACAAATACGACAATTTATATCTTCCACCGAATCGCAAGATAATTTATTTCTCACATTTGCCGTCACGTCATCTTCAAACTCTGATTGGTTTGTGTACGACGATGCTTTATCGAACTCTGTTTCTACTTTTGAAATAATATTATCTAAAGTGTTGGCTACTGAATTACTTCTGGTAATCATCGCGAAAATAAAAATGTGTAAATATTTTGACGAACAAACGACTGCGTAAAACATAAGACAGATGTATCTCAATATAATATATATGAATTTATTTTTCATACCGAATATTCTTAGAGACAAAGGGATTGAATTAAAAAGCATTTTTATTATTGTGTATAAAAATTTGTATTATATCATGTGGATACAATTGAGTTAGTTGTGTGAAATAATCTTAAAGAAACATATAACCCTATGTGCACTTCGTAATAATTAATGAGTAAACTATAAACGAATGTTTGTCACTCCGCCATCATATCAACACTGAGGCAATCTTCTCCCATATTACTTGGAGATGTTTCGAGTTCCCCAATTTCGTTCGATTCGCTAGAATTTGTTTTCATTTTAATAATAAATGCTGAAAGACAAAAAGAGAGAGAAAAAGATAGTCTATTAGCAACAACAACAAAAAAAACAAAGCTTACCTATCCAATGAAGGATCATTACTGAACATTTCTGTTGGAACTGTGGGTGGTGCCTTCTCTGGCACAAGTTCCAGATATGTCTGACGAGATTCCAAATGTCTTTCCACTTCTTCAGGAGTCATATGTCCATCAGACATCAAGGACATTGGAACCAAATTATTTGCGGATTGTACCTGAAGCAAAGATATCCATTGTGAAATTCTTACATGCTAAATATGTTACATAAAATGTAAATGTACTTACTATAGGTGTATTGTTTGTTTTAACAACTTTTGGTGTACTCTTTTTCTTTTTGCTGGTGTTTAGTGGTTTTGTGACTATTGGCGAATGATGAGAAGCATGATTGTTGATGTTTGTTTCAACTTTTTTCCTAAAAATTATACAATTGTCAAAAATTTTGTAAAAAAATTGTTTCCTATATTTTTTATATGATTCTACCATGTGTTTAAATTAAACAATTTCAAGTTTTCTATTGGTTTAAAGCTTGATTTTTCTCAAGATCCAATCGTTTCTATACATATTTTATTTACCTCTTTGAATTATCTAAACGAACAACTTCCTCATCAGATGATTCAGTTTCATCGCTTTCACTGAATGATGCGTCCACTTTTTCATATTGCAGAAGGCGATCTAACAAAAAACTCTTGTCTCTGTTTACTTTGAGCAGTTTTCTTTGCGTAGAACGCAGAGCCTCCTGGAAACACTCATTTTCCTGCAATACAATATATTTTTTTATACAATGAACAATATGATGGAGTATTAAATACAAAATTCCGTGCATACATAAATCAAGAACTTCAGCTTCCTTTTAAGGTTGCGATACTGGTCCTTGTAGTTAGGCACTTCCTCTTCCGGACTGTCTTCATCTTCTTCCTCTTCTGCGTCTGCATTGTTGTTGGCAATGGATCTGCAATACCATCCTTCCAACATTGATCATCTGCAACTGCAGAAAAACATTTTTCTGAAGATATTATGAATACTAAAAAATTCTGTGTTGTACATTCTCTTTGGTCTAATTCATCTTTATTATGTAGCAGTATTGTAATACACACACAAGCTTATGTATTACGAATTATTAACAACATTTAACAAAAAAATAAATTTGTCCAAAGAAATATGTTAGTTCAACAAAGTAATTAAATTAGATAGAAAAATCAACGAGAAGTTCTTCATGGACGCACTTTGTGTCCGTCTTGAGAGGTTAAGTTGTGCAAGAAACACATAAACTTATGCGTCAGCCGTTTAATCGTACGATGAAATGAATGTCGGACCTTAATTAGCCGTGATATTAACGGAGGATTTTCGTTTGCACTCACTTGAAACCCCAGAACGACTTGTCGCACGTCGCAAGCGCTCGCGGCGGCCGATTATTGCGAAGATAAATAAGCTGTTTATGACTGGCTTCCATTCTGAACTCTTTATCGATTCCGCAGTAACTTTAGCGCCTTGCCGGCCGAACGGAAGCGCGCGTCGACTCATGTCAGTGCATTCAACATCAAAAAACAAAAACATTATTTTATGGCGGAATATCACTAGCCATTTGACAAGAGTTATACGTAGAACAAAGTTAAAATGTAATTTTTAATATAAAAAGTATTTTTTAAATGCTAATAAGTGTTTAATTTGTAATTTAAAGATTTGATTGATTCTATCGTTATTCATAAAACTCTAATAAAGTTGTCGTAAAGTTCTAATTTATAAAAAAATATTGGTAGTTCTCAATCGCTTAAATTATATTATATCATCGTGTAATCTTTGAATATAACATTTTTATTTAAATAAACATAAAAAAAATTAAACTATTTAATATAAATGAGAATATCTTTAGCGATTGTATTTTATTCTACATTTTGCAATCAATTATATTACTATTGATTATTTTACACATCAAATTAACTTTTTATTAAAATATTTCCTATAAAAAAGTGCAATGTAATGTCAAAATACTTGGAACAAACAAAACTATATATGTTACTATCTATATTATTTTTATTATAATTTATTATTTTTGGGAGTAACACATTATTAAGTAACTTTTCTTTATCGCGGATCGGTATTGCAAAATTATCACATTTAATCCCTCCGAATCGGCAGAAAATAATATCGATCCCACGGAACCGGCGCACGCGCTCTGAAGGATATCCTTCAGTGTCCGCGTGCAAGGGGTGAGAACATACCGAGCTCTCGTCCGAGAAATATCAGTGAACATAAACAGTCGATTCTTGTACGCTGATACGTAATAACAATTTTTTATTCCGGGGAAAATGAGCCCTGGCTTGGGACACGATCCTTTGGTATCGTACAACATGACTGGTCTCGGTGAGTTCTGGAAAATTCTTGCAATTTAAAGCACGATCTATTCTCTCCCGTACGAGATATCTAAAATTTGTGTATTTATAAGATATACAAGAATTAGTTATTTTTCTTACTTAAGTGGATAATCAATTTTTGCTCGTGCAAAAGTGCGATAATAAGAGAAAATCGTCATAAAGAGCACGCGGCAGAAATGTTAGCGCGTTTATGTAAATGGAAAGTTTATGAAAAGCAATAAATTAATCTAACAGATCTTTTATATTTCTTTTTAAAGGAAACGCCGCTCTATGCTTATGGCAACAGCCGCAACACATTTTGTTCCAGTTAGCGAATTTGTGCTTTGCATTGTCGTATTTGGCGCCGTCCTCTAGAAAAGGAATTCTGTTTATGCATTCAGTATTAATTATAGGTGAGTAATTAATTATAAAATCTATGGTAATTCTTTACCGAGCAACTAATTCCAAGATTATTTCTTATTTAAATAATGATAAGAACACGTCGTAGTTTAAAGATACGTTGTTAATTTTTATTTGCAATTAACTGTAAAATTTTACTGTTAAAAATAAATAATTAAAATTCTAAAACTTGCGATTATTATTACGTACTGAAGATTTCTTGATTTTGCTGCGTTTTTTTAGGTTTTGTGTTGCTATCAGGATGGGCTTGGCATGTGATCTGCGCACCAGATATCTTCTCCTGGAACTTCAGCTTCTTATTGCTCAATATCGGTCAATTAGTGTACATTATTTATCAGATGAGACCGATTAGGTTTGATCCCGAATTGGAAGAAGCTTATCACACGCTTTTCTACCCTTTCAAAGTAAGTTTATCACAGCAATATCGTAAATTCGAATTTTCGGATTACTTTATAAGCGTCCTAGAATTAATTCGGTTTTTTTTTTTAATGCTAATAGGTTTCAAGAATACAATTCAAGCGATTAGTATCGTCAGAATTTGCAACGATAATGTCTCTTCACGCCGGCGAGGCGTATGCAATGCAAAACCTAACAAGGACAGACCGATTAGGATTGCTACTCACTGGCAAAGTTAACGTTCTGAGCGAAAGCAATTTTTTACACCCGATACTGCCTTGTGAATTTCTGGATTCGCCAGAATTTGAAAGTTCGCGTGCTTCCGTCGACGAAAAATTTAAGGTATAATTGCACCTATTTTCTATCTCATTGCTAAAAATCCGAAATCGAATTAAATCCTTTAGGTGTCCATTATAGCAGCGAGTTCCTGCAGGTATTTGTTTTGGCAAAGAACAGCTTTGGAGTATCTGCTCGTGAAGGAAACTTATCTCGCAACCGTGTTGACCACGCTGGTGGCAAGAGATATCGCAACGAAGCTGTATGCGATGAATAACAAGGTATTTAAAACAGAAATTTAACTTTTATTTTTATTGTGAAGGAAAATCTAGATTTTTTCTAACTTTTATTATTCTAATAAATATTTTTAAAAGCTTTAATAGCTTTTTGTTAAATTTTCTTCCACAATTTAATTCTTTTTGATTTTATCGAAATTTTAGATAATTACAGATAAAGGATCACATTTGGACATTCGTCTTCCAACTATTAGCGCTGGTTTAGGAATTAGCGGCGAATATAGAAGTCCTCGAACCTGCAGACAGGCGTTAATTAAGAAAGATTCCAAACTGACATCAAACAATGGTACTTATTATCTAAAGTCTACTTTAAACGATTTATAATTTACGACGGAGGTTTCGAGATAGAATTCTATTTATAATTTCATTATAATTTATATTAAAAAATTAGTATGTATATATTATATATATCAATGATTTGCATTTTGTACATGTATATTTCTATTCTTTAAGTATTTTTTGTTACATAAAGTCACAACAAATAAATTTCTATCTTGATTTCCGCCGCGAATTAAATTAAGTTAGAACCTTAAATATTCACAGAATTAAACAAATTATTTGTCTAAACACTCTGCATTATTTTGATTTATATTATTTTATTTCTATTAACTTCTTTTAATTAATCGTATTTTAGTTAGCGGCATGAAGTTGAAAGAACGGACGGCGAATAATCTGATAAAGAAGGGTGCACCGAACATGGAGCCTCTGCCGGAATTGCCATCCTGCGACGATCTGGCTTCCAGCGGGGTGGAAAGCTGGCTGGACTCCTCCAGCAAGTATCACAGCTGCGAGATTGTTGACGAGGAATAGCATTACGCCTCCTACTTGAATTGCGAAAATCTCGGCGATAGCGACAATGCCGAGCACGATATACAAGCCTTCGACTACAAGAATGCAGACTGGCGGTCATATGATGATCAGCAATAAAATAATTCAGCGCACACGTCTTTGCTTCCATTTAATGCATATAAATTTGAATTTGTTAGAACTTTTCAATTTTTGATGTCAAATTGTTACGTAATTAGAATGTTTTTAGAATTCTCTGAAGATTTGCTAAAAAACAGTAGGAATTCATCGAAAAGCACATATCTATTGATCGCAATATTGTATACGATATACTCTATAGGCTTATTATTTAGCAACGAAATTTGCAACGAAAGCACCTTTCGAGAAGTACGCATATAATGTAAATTTAAAATGCCATGTACATATTTGTAAATATTAAGTCAGATAACGAGCTCAGAAAGGATGTAAGTTTTAGCCCGAGCAAGAAGAAGTTACAAAAATATTCGAGACGATTTTTGAAAAGGGCAAATGTTAAATAAAGTTGATACTTGTATATAAAAGCGTCTATGCCGTATTTGTAAATATCGAAGTCGATCGAACGATCGAGCTTAACGAGAATCTAGAGTTTCTTACCAAAACGAGATTTTTACAAAAAAATGTGATCGAAATGCACATACATACATAAGCAAACTTGAAAATAAACTATTTATAAGTAAATAAATAAAAGCATACGGTATTTAACACAGAATGCCTTTTTAATTCCGTCGTTTTATCGATGACCTTTGCTTTATACTTTTATTCTTTGCAAGCTTTTAAATGTTTTTTTCAATAAACTTTTTACAAATGTCTCGGACAGAATTATGATAAATAAAATTAACTTTTCTGTTTTCATTTGCATCATAAATTCAAATTTTCCAGCAAATACTTATTTTAATTCTTGTTCCGATAAATTTGATCTTCTTACAAACACATTATGGAGGGATTACGAAAATCGCACGGGAAAGATTTCTATACGAAAGAAAGAGAGAGAAGGAGTGCTATCGTTAGCAGAAGAAAGCAACTCGAAGGACTTTCGCCAGCAGCAGGAGCTTCGCCCTCGGAAAGAGGGTTAGCGAGCGGTGGTGCCACCTACGCGGAGGGCGTGGCGCTAGTTCCAAGGGTGGTTTAGTGTCGCGAGAGCCCCCAGAGGCGCGTCATCGCGCGCGGAGCGCAACCCCCGGAGTGCACAGTTTCGCGCTCTCCGAGCAAGAGTGGCCAAGAGCGAGTGAAACGTGCGCTTGAGCGATCGAGCGAGCGCGACGGGGGGCTGAAGGTGGGCAGGTGGGAGATGAGGGAGGGGTGGTGAGAGAGGAAGGGTGAGAAAAGCTCCACGGCTCCGACCAGCGAGAGAGCAAGGCTGGTGTACTCCGTATGCGCGCACACATCGGCAAGTGGAGATTCCGCGCGGAGATGAGCGTACGAGCGGTCGCCGTCGTCCCGTGTGTCCCGTCCCTTCCCCGATGACGCTGTGTCCCGCGAGGAGGACTCCGCGCGCGGAGCAGGAGGATATCACCGCTACCGCCGGCAGGACGCGGGAGACGCCGTCGCTGAGGACCGTTCTTCCTTGCTCCTGGCGGCAGTGACCATGGCGCCCGTCCTGCCGTGTAAACAGTGCTCCAGCGAAGAATGCGACCCGTTTCCTGGACTGATGATGCTGCCGTCGTGTGCCTGCTGACGAGCGAACGGAGCATCCGGGTGCGTTGAAAGCGATACTGGTGAGAGAAAGAGAGAGAGAGAGAGTGAGAGAGAGAAAGAGAGAGAAGAGCGTCAGGATGTTGCGTGTGTTCGAGCAGCTTCCAGCGGAGCCACCAGAAGATAAAGTGTTGACGATGATCTCGCTGCTGGTGGCGTGTATCGCTGTGGTCGCGCTGAACGCTCGCAAGATCGCAGGTGTGAGAGAGAATTGATGCAAGCGATGTTTAATTGTTATTGATTTAATAACGTGATGAAAATCACGCTATTTAAATCGTGCATCTCGGCTGCACGGTTGTTGACTCGCGGGAGACTGCAGCGAGAGACTGCCTGTCCGTTCGGCGGCGGCAAGAATATTTTTTTTTTCAACTTTAGATGAGTTCTCTGGAAACAAGATGAGGGATAAGAATGATGCATAATTTTTATTGATCCAAATAATGCATTTAAGATGTACGACACCTGCTCGCTTGTCACAGAGCACATTCTTCTTCTATACGATTATTTTAGTTATTTATGCTGACATGTTGCTGAAGATTGATTCTACTTAATTTGTAGTTCGACGCAAGAACACACCTGCTTTACTAATTTACGGAGTGTCGAAGACAGTAATCTATGTTTAAAGAGTTCCGCGCGAGTAGCAAAGAATGGTGGTAATGGTTGTTTGAGCTGGTGCCATGTTAGCGAAGTTTAATTGGGTTACAAATGAATCAGTGATTATTATTAAAATGATGGGAGAAAGCGAAGAATCTATTTGTTTGTATGAGTTGTCTTACGATAAGCGTAATGACAATTATTTAAAAAATTGTCTTTAATAAATAGAAGATTAATTATCAGTTCAACTGTTTCTAATTTAGGTTTTTAACCTGTTTAATGCGTTAATTAATTTTGTTTGAGAAACTTTAATTCAAATAAATCGGACGATAAAAATTAAAAATTAATGAGAGAAAAACATTTGTATTTGCATTCGCTAACTTAATTCTAATTTAAATTATCCGGAAAGTATGGCGTCTATAATCACTTTGCACAAGTTAATCATCTAAACTCGACTAATTGGAATTAACTTGTTTAAACTTTGCGTTAAGTTTTACTATCGAGTTAAGATACATCGCGCTTATTTCTTCAACGGTTGAAAGAAGAGATTTTTGCTAATTCGCAAATTTCTATGGTGTTTCAGACATCAGCGACACACAAGGCCGCGAAGAAACCTGGCAACGTTTCGTTAAAACAAATTACGGAAGACTCGCGATAATCATTGTGACTCTATCAGTAGTGATCTACGTTTCTTTTTGCGTGGCAAACTCGCAAGATTAAAAAAAAAGTAAGCGATGGTGTCGCGCGGAATGATGGTCATTTGCGTCGCGGACTCCGACGAGGACAGAGAAAGCCCAGCGCCTTCGTGCTCGTTGCTGTCGATGCATACCCACAGTAGACTGAGGTGCATCATCTTGCACTCCAAAAGACATATCGCTTATCCACCATAAGGTAAGAAGACAACAGTATGCAAAGTCAGAATCCCAGTGCAATCGCTCCGTTGTAGTCGAAAAGTTGTGCAATAGGCTTGAAACATCCTAAGCTGCGAAATCGTACGCCTTTTTGCGAAAGTAAAAGGATGTATTAAAAGGGCTTAAATTTCTTTCAACCATTAAGATACCTATCTTATGTTATAATCTCGCTAATCGGCCGTGTTCACGTTGTCTCGATTAACAGGCGACGTAAAAAAAAATTAATTGTGACATGCGATGTTAGAGCATTTACCTGTTGCATTACGTTCGTGCAAAGAGAGACGACGAAACTTACAAAGTCACCAGCCGCTAACTTTACTATTGGCAACAATTCTATGTATAAGAGCAAAGTCGGATTTTACCTTGCGGGTGTAAAAGCAAAAGCAAAACGCGAGTAATCGCGTAACGAAAGGAGGTGCTTTCAATTTTGAATCGAAAGCTAATCTATGAGTATATCAAGTAGATAATTTAATTTATTACAATAAAAAGGTACATATATATATATATAAAAATGTGATCTAATAAAAATTGATTATAGCAGTTCGTGAAATGCAATCAAGCTTTACTTTTCAAAAAAAGAACGAAGAGAGAAAGAGAGAGAGAGAGAGAGAGAGAGAGAGAGAGAGAGAGAGAGAAG